TGTCTTATCCATTTCCATCGTCTTTTCCTAATTTCTTCTTCAACTGGAAGCTGGTTTGTTCTCCCCCAGAGAAGGCTGTTGCTGATGATATCCGCCAATGGATGTTGAGTATCTTGCGAAGACAGCTATTTATAAATACTTGTACTTTCTTGATTGTGGTTGTTGTAGTTCTCTAAGTTTCAGCTCCATACAGTAGAACTGCCTTGACGTTGGTATTGAAGATTCTCACTTTGATATTGGTTGAAAGTTGTTTTGAGTTCCATATGTTCTTCAATTGTAGGAATGTGGGCCTTGCTTTCCCGATCCTTGCCTTTACGTCTGCATCTGAACCTCCTTGTTCATCGATGATGCCTTCTAGGTAGGTGAAGGGTTCTACATCTTCCTGAGTTTTCAAAAGTGGCCTGGTTTAGATCAACGAGTGAACTCAACTTGAAAATAACTAAACACCCGTTCTATCCTAGTTCGTTATTTATCATTTGTGTTCTAACAACATTCAACTGAAAATCTAATTAAAACTATTAGACGTTGATTTCAAATCCAGCGGTTTATATTTCTAGTTTTAATCAATTCACAATATACCCGTTAAAGATAGCTTCACTTGTTGTTAATGTGAAAACTAGCATTATTTAAGTTAAGTTTTATGGGAAGTTTTGTGTTATTCTTTATATCTCGAAATGACCTTAATAAGACAATCACTGAAAACTAGGAAGCATTGAAAGACTATTTCGTCTTAGTATAGGAATCCTCACACATGTGCATCCACAAATTTACCAAAGTTTGAATTCAGGATATTTAAGTTTCGACACAAGTGCCTAATTTTTCAACCACTGAACTGAGATCTAATAGTTTGTGTGTATAATTACGATCAGTTTGCAATAGTGTACAACTATCTTTCGATATTTACTTCTATAGAACAGCTATCCAGTGCTCTCTTATTTTCAATAGTTGTATAAATGAGATGAATTTATGATGTCAATTTTGAAATTCAGCAATCTCTATAATCTCATTTTTAATTTATGTTACTTCACTGATATCGATGGCTAGTGAGTAAACTAAGACGAAATATATTAATGTTAACAATAATAGTAATAATTCAACTAGCCTAACTCATTTGAATCAAAATACTCCAAGTGCCATGGTATGGCCGAGGGTGGAGAGAGTTTACTTTCTCTCTCGAAATACAAACACTCCTATGACAGTCCTACTCACTGCCTTCTCGTGGCGGGGGTGTTGTTTACGAAATTGAGAGGACGAAAGCAAACTATCTAGCGCTTTAACAGGGCTGGCGGATATGGAGGATTGACTTTGAAGAGTTGGAAAGCCCTGATTCTAAACCAATAATACACATATTCTCCAGTATCCTGAAGAAACAAATGGCGTATGAATCAATCAATGGTAAGCGGTTACCATGGAACTGCATCTTCTAACGTTTCTCCACTGCCTTATCGATCAGACCTTTAGATCAAATGCTCCGGATATGGCCTCGCTAAAGAAACCACCTGTTTCTCTCTGGACACTCAGGCTGTATCGTTGACTATACATAAATCAAGTGACTTGTGTGTCGTATATATATTCAAATAAGTAAATAAATAAACGAATCAAAATATCTAGCCGTTCTTATTTTTCACCAAAAAATGAGATATGAAATAATAACGCCTGAAACTAACAATGTAGAATAAGAATAAACGTTTTATGTAAATTAGTAACTGACATTTAAGAGAAAAAGAGATTAGATAATGAGCAGGATAAATTGAAAAAAAGGAGTATAGTTTCATAGAAGGAAAAATTATGATAATAAGTGTATATATATATATATATATATATATATATATATATATATATATATATATAGTTACTATTAACTTTCTATTGAATGTTCCATTTTATTTGGAAAACTATCAAATTCAATTTTGGCATTGATATCTACATATTATATTCTTTAACATTTAATACTATTTTGATTGTTATAATGAAGAGATGAAATGGATAGTGATTAGCGGTGGAATATAGTATGCATGTTTCGTCCTGTTTGAAACTCGTCATTTGGATGTATGTGCATCGCAGAGTTGATATTCACTCTAGGACTCAAACCTAGTACCGTTCGCTTAAAAACGACATCGCATTATCCACTTAGCTACTTGCTTATACATCGGGGTAAAGTTTAAATTCACTTGGTATTGTTTACTTGAATCTTCCCTTTGATATTGGGAAATTCAAGTAAACAATACTAAGTAAATTCTTTTAACTATAGTTTAATGAACTATTTGGTTACAATTTCATAACAGTGTTAGATAATTAATAAGAAGAATATATTTGTAAAATCTCAGCGAATGAATTTTAAGTAAATCCAACGTTTCGCCTGGCAATCTGGTCCAAGCTTTTTCAAGGAAAATATATATTATATTTTCCTTGAAAAAGCTTGGACCAGATTGCCAGGCGAAACGTTGGATTTACTTAAAATTCATTCGCTGAGATTTTACAAATATATTCTTCTTATTAATGTCTCAAATGAACTCGGCGCCCAAATATTGTGAAACTATTCGTTTAAATTTAGACGAAAGTTCTTATTTATTAAGTGTTAGATAATGTTTTAGCGACCTATTTAACTAAAATGTTTTATAAATTTGTACTTTGTTTCTAAGTGCATGTTATATATTTTTCTTAAGTTTTTTAAGGTTACTCATGGATGAGTGTTCCATAAATGTCAATGATTTACATTAGGTATCCTATTATCTACTGTATCAAGTTATCCATATACATCTTTGATGAACACATTACACTAGCTCATTTTAACTTATTGGATCGAAAAGAAAATAATAGAAAAGTTAGAGATTGAATTTAAATTCACAATAAGTACTCTGTTCTTACATGAACTATTTATTCATATAACATGAAAGAAAAGTTCCCAACACCAAGGTCAGAATTTTCAATACAAATGTCAAGACAGTTTTGCTGTATGAGACGGGAACTTGAAGAACTACGAAAGCCATCTTCCAGAAGATACAAGTGTTTATTAACAGTTGTCTATGCAAAATACTTCGGATCCATTGGTCAGAGACTATCAGCAACAACCTACTGTGGGTGAGAACAAACCAAATCCCAGCGGAGGAAGAATTGCTGAAAGTGGATAGGATACACATTGAAGAACGCACCGAACTGTACCACAAGGCAAACCCTCAGTTGTAATCCTCAATGCCAAAGGAAATAAAAGATTATTGGGTATTCACTTCATGTTGCTTAGAACTGCAATTGACCAGTGTGTAATTGGCATATGTGCATACTGTGCGGATTGCCTCTATATTGCCTTAAGTCACAAGCATTATAACCAAAGATGGATAGTGGTTAGCAGTGGAATCCAGGACGCCCGTTTCATCCTATTTAGGATTCGTCAACTATCTTATATTGAAAAAATTCAACAATGAAATAAGGAGTTGATCAGAATTATTTCTTGTTTCTAATTCACATTTCACTTGGATGACCTTGGATAGGGAACACGTTTAAACTAGTCCGAAATTTATGCTTATATATATATATCCATATATTGACAGAATGGTAAAATGAAACGTTATAGATATGAAGGGCGTATTCCTACAATAAAAGTTATTCAAAGCAATAAGAAATACAGTAAGAGCATTGGTAATGTTATAATTCAAAAACAAAGTAATCATAATGATGATAAGTGTTGTATCAATTCAAAGGGAATTCATTGTTTTTCACTCATTCTTAGACATTTTTAATAAATATCATTAAAATCAAGAACAATATTCAACATAAAGAGTTAAATCAGTAACTTTCTTTATTGAGTTAAACAAAATGTAACGACGTTATACAATCAGGAACGAGCTTAAAACAACTGGGACAAATTATCAGCCTGGTCTTAGCGAAACAGAAAAATATGCAGCTGGATGTTTTATTCACTTGAATACATAAATATTGGTATAAATGGGCACCATATACATATGTGTCTTACAATAACATTGAGAATGTGAAGAGATAGATGATGTAAAGTGAGTATAAGTAAAAGGAAAACAGTAACGTACAGAAATTAGTGTATGATAGTGACATGGAAGAGGCAGTTCATTTAGCAAAGGTACAATAAGAAAGAATACTTCCCGTTAAAAAAGTTACGTCCAAGTTTTTATGATGAAAGTAAAAGAAAGTTACAGCAGGATCGTCACTGACTTCTATTCTGAACCTTATCTGATAACATCTGAAGGCACTATGTTGCATGATCTCTAGGACCCCCAACGAGAGATTCTTGAAGGACCAACAGAAGCCAATCCTGTACAGCTTTCTTTGATACCACGACACCATGTCATACACTGAACACATGTATATTTTAAGAGAGAAAGTGACCAGTAATATTACAAACTATAGACAGATTTAGCATATTTCATATATTCGTTAAAGTTTTCTGTAGGTTACTCTATCTGTAAATTGACTATTTGTCTTCTTGAGCCGAATAGGTTTTTCGGTTCCAATATTGTTCCTAGTTTTCGTTAGATATTCAGGGTAGGGATAAGGCGTTTAAGATTAGGGCTTTTCATTACAAACTGACAATACAATAATAATAATCTGTAATCATATAAACGAACGAATTTCACTAGGAAATACAAAACGCGTTGTCTGATTTTTCCTTCCATAAGATCTAATCTCTCTAGATTAAGGTTTACTTCATAACTGAATATTTAGGGCAGTATTAATTTATTTATACAATTTAAAGAGACAGTTAAGTATTTGTTACATTTAACACTTATTTCTACTACTCATTATTCCTGATATTTCAGTTTCGCCCAAAAAAACCCTGCAATTCACATTCTTGATCCATAAACCAAAACTTTTATCCAAAATATTATTTTCATTATATATCTGGTCATCTACGTGAACCAATCAAATTTCATCTGCTCACTTCTTATTGGCTAGTTCAAAATTTCATTTCCCAAATCTTGTTATTTTTTGGTTAGTTTTTTCGGTACAATATGTTAACCTAATTTTTTTTTGATTCATGTAAAATCAAAGAAACATAATTTTCACATAATTGATCAAGATTATCATCATCATCATAATAATAATATCTATTATATCATATACATAAACTAATGGCTTATCGACGTTTAAGTATGAGTCCTGGTGAAGCATTACAAACTGAAATACCTGAAGCAAGACGTATGGAAAATTATCGATCTGGAAATTGTTTATTAAGTTATTTTGATCCAAATACAAAAAAGTTTCGTAATTTCACAGCTTCACAATTTGGTGATGTTTGGAATCATTTCGATCAAGATGGTAAGTTTTTTTTTTTTTTAAAAAAAATTATTTTAATAAAAGTGATTTGTTTTGAATTAGTTATGAAAGTAATAAGATGAATAAATTTGCCAGCTATTTCGAAAGAAAACTAGTGTGGGGTCACTAAAAATCTCAATACATAAAATAAGCACTGAAGATATGATCCGAGCTGACAATAAATGCTCCTTAAATCAGTCATTTAATTCTGAGTTTAAGTGGCGATTAACTATTACTGACAAAATTCCTTGATATAGTTGCTTATTAAAAGTATCTGTTATTTAAATTCACTCAGTATTGTTTAAATAAAGTTACTCATTGATGTTTACGACTGCACTTGATTAGTCTCTTATTGCCTTATGTGTATCCTGTACGGATTACCTTGATATTGCCTCAAGTCCTACAGGACGTCAGTCACGACCCGAATATCTGAGTGGTAACGTCTGTAACTATGAAGTTGGGTGACACGAGAGAGAATCAGTTCTCTTAAGATTACAGGCACGTCTTGATGGAGCGTGGTAAGTACCTCGAAACCTTATTATTATTTATTTATTTTAACACATAAATATCGGTACAAGAGGGCATCAAATATATATGCGCCAACCATATTTGTGTGCGTGTGAGCTGTGATACTGCCCGGGTGCCCAAACCGAACCAGGTGGTTTTCTCAGGGGGTCACACCCCGAGCCTTTGACCTAAAGGTCTGATCCACAGGGCAGTGGAGCATCGTGAGGAGATGCAGTCCTATGGTAGCCGGTGACCAACGATTGGTTCATACGCCATTTGTTCCCTCAGGGTACTGGAGGCCATGTGCACCATTGGTTTGGGATCCGGGTAAAGCGCCAGACATTCGCTTTTCGTTCTCTCATTTTCGTAAACAACACCGGTGGCACGAGAAGGCAGTGAGTAGGACTTCCCTGGCAGAGGCTGTATGCATGTGGCCGTGTGAGAGTATTTTGAGAGGGAGGGCGGGTCCACCCCACTCTCGGCCGTACCAGGGCATTTGGGGGGGGTTTCATGATGACTACCTCCAACAACTATCTTATCGCATTACAAGCATCCACCTTTGCTTATATCTGTGATTTAGGTTTGTATTGAGTTGATGTAGAGTTTAGCCATGGTAATGAAACATTTTTGAAGCTGTAGAAAATAATTAAATTTGGAAATCGTATGCACTGAAATGTGTACATTATGATTTGATGTAACGATCAGTTGTTGTATAAATTGATGAACTGGCTTATATAAACACATATTAAGTAAAAAGATGAAAAATACCAAATGTAATCTAACCGATTCAGTATTAGTAACTAAAACATCAAGTCCACACAACGAATCTCCTTATATGTTTGTAGTGTTCGCATTAGTATTAAATAGAAATTTTTTTAATAAATTTTGATAGTTCCATTGTTCGTTCCTTCTTTTATACGAAACCTGATAATTTTCAAATGCCTAGGATTTTAATGATCACAATGATAATAATGACACCAATCAACCGTAAATGTAACCACTTGAGAAAATTTACATTGATGTCACCTGCTTCGGTTCGGGCACCCGGGCAGTATCCCAACCTTCACATAAACTGAATGAATTATGTGGCGTATATGTATTTGGCGCCTCCATGTATCAATGTTTATGTGTTTAAATAAAAATAATAAATACACTGATGTCAGATCTGATGTTGATAATAACTGACTGATTAACTGAAGTGAACACAGGATAGTAATTTTAGTTTAAGCCAGAGTTTTCCTAATATGTTAAATAAACTAGATAGAATCAAGCTTTACAACTTAGTGATTGCTAATGTTAAAAATGACAATTAATTTCATGCTATGAACAATTAGACAACAGTAGAAATGCTACCCAGTAACCAGCATATATACCAAAAGTGCCGGAAAAAATTCACCATTCATCAATGATTGAAATATGATTCATGATGTGTTCAGAAATGAGGAATAAACCATAAACTAATAAAAGTTTATAAATAAAACCATCCATTTAGAACAAAGAACATCCAAACGTTGAAAATGACTTAAATATTTTTCAGTTTTGGGTTGTAAAGTTTGTTGAATTTTATTAAAATCATGATCCGTCCAATGTTAAACCACTATTGAAAACCTTGAAGCACTGGATGACTGTCTCTTCCTACTATGAGACTCTTTAGAAATTGTTTCGTATCGTGAATTGGTTGAAGTTAGACATTGACACTATTAAACGACAGCTCAGTGCCTGAAGTGTCTCATACTGTGGCGAAACAACCGTCCAATGATAATCTAACATTGATCAATTCATGATTTCAATGAAACTTGAATATTTATCATTTATATGTGTTTTATGATAGTGATTTAAGGTTTAATTTATTTCACCATTGTTGTGAATGAAATTGGATAGTTTGATTTTCTCACATGCTGAATACCTTTTTATTGTCAAAGTTGAAAAAAAGAAATGAGAATATTGATTATATTTCATCTGGAGAATTTGGACAGTGAATTCTAGATTTTCATTTAGTTAGTGTCATTTTGTAAAACAATCATCTTAATTATTGTAGAATCAAGTGTACTCTAAATAACCTAAATAAAAGCAGAATTTCAATAGTTGAGATCATTAGTTGATTGAAGCTAGACCACCATGAAAAACCTGAAAGCACTAGACGGCCGATTCGTCCCAGTATGGGACTCTTCAGCAGTACTCATCCACGACACAGCTCCACATCTAGCTTCAATTGATACATGATCTTAACTGTTGAAACTACCACAATCTCCACAAAACCCCTTCTGATGCTAGTAGACAGAATTGTTTATATAAATAAATAGAATGTTTCATCTTGTAATTATTTGTTCAACATTTATTTCAATGGTGAAATGTAAATTTGATAATGTTTTCTATATTTATACAATTTCGATGCACAGATTCATGTAAATTAAATGTATATAAGATAAAGAGAGAGAATTCAATGTCATCTTATAGAAGAAACATATGTAAATTGTTATGATCACAATAGTCAGAATTAGGAAAACGGTAGTAATTATAGAAAACTCAAAAGTGAAGTAATCTTAGTCACATTAGTAAGAACATGAATCTAGATAAAAATTATGATCGTAATATATGATCGGAAAACATGAAAGATTATACACATCAGAATAGAGAGTTTGTAGAGATTGTAGTAATTTAATAGTTGAATTCATGACCACCATTGAAAACCCAGAAATATTGGATGGCCGTTTCGTCTTCGTATGGAACTCTTCAGCAGTGTGCATCCAGTTACTCACTAAAATCAATAGTGAACGGCAGAGCAATATCATGGATTAGTTGAAGTAAGACATTAAAACCATTGGATGCCTGCTGACTTAGCGGTCTAGAGGTAAAGTGTTCGCGCGCGAGACCTAGGGTCCTGAGTCTGAATCCCGCGTTTAGGATCATGGATATACACTGCTGAGAAGTCTCTTACTAGGACGAGTTGGTTGTCCAATGTTTCCAGGCTTTCCATGATAGTCTAGATTACATCAACTCATGCATTCAATGATTACATTATACATATTTTATGTTACATGAAGTTTGAATTTGTCAGAACAAAGATGTTTAGATTTAAAGAGTTAACTGCATAGTCAACTTTCATCAATTTACATACATATATCATGGTATGAATGTCATCCATTGAAAACATGAGTAGTTAAGTTGTTGTAAATACAAGACAATATCATGAAATGAATCTTGTAATTTATTGAACTAATTATACTACACATAATATTGTTGTCATTAATTAGTTTATCTTCTCATTTATTTTTATTTACCTTTTCAAATGTTCGTTTTCTCTTCCAAATAAAGTATTGATTATCCAGGCGTTTTTTTTTCCTTCTTCTTCTTCTTCTAAATGATCATTCGAAAACGATGTCAAATGCTTATTGTTCATCTATTGTGTACAAGGATAGACAAGTAATTAAAAACAACAAACAAATAGTATATAAGAAAAGAAAGCGCTTTCACATTGAAGAAACATCTATAAGTCATTCATTTTTATGGGAGTATCACCTATTTTCTATAGGTCACAAGATACATTTGAAAACTTTATGTTCGGTTAAATTATATATTTATATATCCGTTTTCATTCTTAAGTATAAAGAATTAGTTAATACTTATGTGAATGGAACTCTGGTTGTTGTGAGTGACATTTTCCCAGTTAGATGTTATAGTCTAAATTATCAATCAGAAGGAGTTTTGTAGAGAAATTTAGTATTTTCAATAGTTGAAATCATAAATCAATTGAAGCTGGATCACCATGAAAAACCTGAAAGCACTGGATAGCTATTTCGTCCTAGTACGGGACTCCCTATGACCTCGCCTAGCGAGATTCGAACGCAGGATCTATCAGTCTCGCGGGCGAGCGTTTAATCATTCAACCGCTGAGTCGACATCCAACGGTGTTAATGTCTATCTTTAACCAATCCACGAGATTTCGCTACCGTCATCGTTGTCTTCAGTGAGCTGATATCTCACAACAGACCTAGTTGGACTCCACTGGTCACGGCTTCTCACTACAACTTCAGGAGTGTCTATTGATGTCAGTCACTAGTGAGCAGTTATACATTAACACCGTTGGATGCTGACTCAGAGGTCTAATGGTTAAACGCTCGCGCGCAAGACTGATAGATCCTGGGTTCGAATTTCGTGGGTGGGGGGCGGGATCGTGGATGCGCACTATTGAGGAGTCCCATACTAGGATGAAACGGCCGTTCAGTGCTTCCAGGTTTTTCATGGTGATCTAGCTTCAAATGACTCATGATTTCAACTACTTAAATTTTTAATGTATAAGATAACCATTTTATTTAGCAACCAGATTCCTGTTTAATTCAGATTAAATATGGCGTTAATAATAAATGTTTAAAATAATATATGGCTAATTTCGAGAGGTAATTCTCTAATTTCTAATGAGTTGCTGTGACCAATGGAGGTCAACTATATGAAAGATAAGACACTTATTTATTAGTGATATTGAAAAAAACAATATA